GCTTTCCCCAAAGATATGGGAATATTGTAGGTCGATTCTATGTACCTGGAGGTTTCAGTTAAAGAAGTTAAACTTAAAAATGGGTTTGTTTGTTTGCTTTACATCTTGATATAGAACAGCGATTTTCAACCTGTGCGCTGTGGCACACTGGTGCGCCACAAGGATTTTTAAAACATGCAATACCTGACTATTTATTCAGGAACACTGACCTCTTTTACATTAGGTTGTCAAATTTAAGAAAAAGAAAAAAAGACAATAGCCAATACAACAATAGCCGCTGGTGTGAGTGAATCAAAATTATACCAATTTGTTGCCAGATCAGCAAAAACCATATTTCTTGGTGTGCCACAGAATTTTAGTAAATAGCTTATGTGTGCCATGAGATGACAATGGTTGAAAATCGGTGGTACAGAATGAAGTCAAACCACTTAGGAGATGCAGAAGTATCCAAGACACAAACTAAGTTGCATATTTTCATGATACTAAAACAGTGTGCTGGAAAAGCATAAATGACTAAAACATCTCTGAGCTCTAGGAAAAGAAAACAATGTTACAGACCATGGAGGGATTAGAAGGTAAATCAGGAATTTAAAGGTTGATGGGCAAATGAGATACATATACCCACCCAGAAGGAAACAGAAATGTGTCAAGTGGTACTCAAAGCCACAGTAAAAAAAAGACCCCTAGAACATCCTTTTTACTTAAAACACAGATGCTACAGAATACTATAACAAAACATGACTTTTTTTCAATTATCTAGAAATTCCAAGCATGCAATGAACAGTCTGCTTAGCCTTATAGTCTCCAAACTTGTAGATTACAAATACCTTACTGAAAACATCTAAAAACAGAGAGGCATCTAAAATTGGTGTTAGAGCTGTCATAACTCTGAAAGGAAAGGAGAGGATAATTCTTCTGTTTGAGGAGACCTGCCACATGGTTCGTAAATACACTCCCTCCCAAACTACATTGTCTTTCTAAAGAAATTAAAAAGTTTATTCTATTGGGATCAGAGAGCTCGGGGGTTAAATTGCCATGCTAACTAAAGATAAGGAGGATAGCCCACATAAGCCTCCATCAAAGATACTCTACTGGTAATCAGTGGAAAATGAAAACCTCTCATTTGCTAATAATCTTTTAGAGATATTAGATTTTTAAAGAAGACTAAAATATAACTCTTTTATTTTCTAAGCCCAATACAGGTTAATATGTTTGGTCTTTTTAAAATGTGTTAAAAAATTCACTCAGAACATTTGTTAGTACTTGTTTTCATGTGACCTGGCTGGGTGGACATAGCACTGTTCCACTGAACAACACTGAACACAAAATAGTGCACAGTTCTTGTAGTGGAAGAATTACGGCCTTCCTATCTGTTCATCCTAGAATGACCAACGGAGGATTAAGCAACTGGCCCTAACTGATAGTGGGCAAAGAAAACGGAATTTCACCCAGGCCTGTTCATTCAAGGAAGCCAGAAAGCAATCAGCAGTGTATCATGTTTGTTAGTTACTTAGTAGCCTAAGAGATACTAAAAGTAAAAAGAAAAACCATTTCTAAATGATTAATATGCCACAAATGAATTGCAAATGTACGAACGCAACAGACAGTTCATGAATACAGGTAATTCTACAAAAGAGAAGCCTAAATAAACAATGCTGCTAGGGACAAACTCTTATTACCAAATTTCCAAATTTGCTGTGAAGACTTTGAGAGAAATGGCTAACAGTTCTTAATTAGTTGTCCATCAATAGTTTTGAGTATGTACAGGACTGATTAAATTTCAAAAAAACTCATTGGTGTTACATAATCTGAAGCTTCAGATTGGAGGAAATAGTATTCTACAGTGACACCTACCGGTAAAGGGTGACGGAGCAGCATGATACTGTTAGATAAAATAAAACATGTTACATCCCTGTAGCATGTCAGAGGCTACAGGGAAGACTGAATGATAATCAAAAGGAAAAAGGTAAACAAATGAAAACATTACACACACCAGTGTCTGTGTACTACAAAATAAGCCCAAAAGGACATCATGATCCTTCTTAACCAAAGATTTTCAAATCAATAAATCTGAAAGAAGTTTCCTCTAGTCCCAACTGGCCATACAAGTCAAATTTTTGTATGCAAGTAAAAGGCCCAATTTACTCACATCTCTTTTACATTTTAAGGAGTAAAACTGAAATAGGCAAACAGAGCTTTATAGGAAATGAGATATTTTAGTAGTTTTCAATTTAAGTTGAGCAAAATGAAAAGCAGACACTTGCTTTAAAAATCTGTTACATAAACCCCCAGAGTTTCAGTTTCCAGATACTGCTTTTTAACATGATCACCTTTTCCCTAAAATGCAAGCTTCAAAAGACTGAGTCCTTTTTACCCCACACTTTTTTACAACAATTAAGCATAACAATGTTGAATGCAACCAATGTCATCATCAGCTTCAGACTCTCAACCCAAAACATTGAAAAAAAACCTTCACTACTTGAGCCCCTGCCTTCTCAAACTACAATGTTCAAATGTTCTGTTTCAAACAAACTATTAGCCCCAGGAAATTTAATTGATAAAATGACAAAAGCACACTTTTCCTAAATAACTAGTTGTAGCGTGCCATAAAGAAAATCAGAGGGAAATCTAAAAAAATAGTCTACCTCAGCTCCAAGACTCTCATAAAATCTTACAGATTAGATAACCTAAAATGCAAGCATTGTGGTATAATAAATGAATAACAGAAAACCTGAGTTCTAGCCTTGGATCATCCACCAACTAATTGGGTTTTTGAAAACTACATAATTTTTAACGAACTAAAGTACCTTTCTGGACATTAATCTCCTCATCTCTAAGATTACAGGGGAAACCAAATGGGCCTCACAGTAACCTCGCTGCTAAAATGTCTTCGGCTTCTGATTTCTCCAGCAGATTGGAACGATTTGGGCATCAATGTCTATACTTCAATGACCCAAAAGGCAGAGGAACAAAAGAGAACTTGGCTTTATCTCCTGGGTATATCGTGCTACAAGAAAACAATGTAAATAAAATCACACCGTCAGCACTGCAGCGTAACTGTTTTTGACTGAAAGAATCGTCACTTCCATCTCCAGGGCCTTCTACCTGGCACATTACCAGAACTCAGTATTTACTTAAAAAAATAATGGCTGCAGAAAAGAATACTCATTATGTAACATGCAAGACTCCAATATCAACTCTTTAAATGCTCTGAGGCACTTTTGTCTGTATTACTTTTTATATACTACTGGTACTTTTAATATATTCTCTTTTACATACTATGTCCGTTTCATGACAATTATGAAATCAATATGTAAAATGTTTAAAAGAGCCAAAAATCTGCAAATATGGACAGGTTGCCCTAAAATGCCTGAAAATTAAAGTCAGAATACATTCATTTAGGTTATAACATCTCCTTCAGTTCAGTTATCGGTTCAGTTCAGTAGGAGTGGATACACAACATGTTCACATTTCCCAATACAGGCCATATAAAGTGACTTCCTCAGGTGCAATCAGTCCTCTCTACTCATGATTGAAAATGATATTTTTTTAAAAACTAGAATAAAGATTTTACCTCCCTTGTAAATAGAAAAACTCTGGAAAACAATTAACATCAAAGTCTTGCTCACCAGCTTTCTCTGTTGGTGCATAGGTGACACAATGTCTCTCCTCACCTAGGCACTGTAAAGAGTGTAGCCAGAGCCAACTGAGCCAGTTCATCTACTCTTTGGCCTGTTTAAGTCACTACCTGGCATTTGAGTACAAGTGACAAAAGTATACAAACTTTTTCTTATGTCAAAGGTAAATTAATATGATGGTTTTGAATTTCAAACTCTCTTTTTCCATTGCTAACACAAATACTAGTTCTCAGAATGCAAATTTGTGCAATGACTTTCATTGCACCCTTTAAATTTATTCATTCATCCACTGTATTGAGCACCTCTTAAGCGCCAGGACCATTCTAGGAGTTATGAATAGAAATACACAAGACTAAGAAATAAAACAGGAAGACAATACACATGAAAATAAATACGATAATTTCAGATAGTGATAAGTGCTATAAACAAATAGTTCTTTGAAGTAGGGTTTTGGTTATCTGATTTATTTTCTTGATAAGTATGACTACATTACATACAGACCTCAGGAAACAGTCTACTCTAAATCATTGCAAATGATCATTTTCAAAAAGTTTACAGCTCACGGTCAATACATCTGTATTCCAGTTTCAATATCCTAGGAGTTAAAAGAAATATAAGAGAAACCGAGAACCACTGAAATATGAGATGAAACAGATTTAAAACATCTGCTCTCTATCCTGTGGGTAAGCACATAGAATAGAAAGGTGAATACAGATTTAAACACGCGCGCACACACACAAACACACACACAATGGGAAAAAGTAGAGAAGCTCGCCCAGCATTCTGCGGTATTCCGCAATACTTTAAAAGCAAATAAAAATCATGTTAAGAAAGCTACATTAAGGCAGAAATATTTAAAATAATTTCCAAGGACATTCAGATCACTCCCCTCACATACACTCCACACACCCCATAGATTATCCTTTGAGTTGCTCTTAAAAGCGGTTGATGTGGCAGGAATTTATTTTCTCTGGCTTTGGCTCATTTCCAAACTCCCCAAAAATATGCAAGGCAAAGGTAAAATTGTCTCTCACTCCCATCTTCAGTCCCACGGAAAGACAAGAAGGGCTCGATCAATAACCTCCATCTCAGCTGCACCCTGCAAGTGAGGGGATCAGCACGGATCAGCCCCACAAGGGGCTCCCCGGCACCACCAACCTAAGGCCGCGTACCCTGATCACCAGCCCCTCCAGCCTGCCCGCCAGGCCCACCAAGCGCGGCCTGTGCCCGCGCCAACAGGAGGAGCAACGCAGAGGATGGAGAAGACGCACGGTGGAACCCGGAGAGAGAGGACCGCAGCTCCCGCCGCCCGGACCGCACCCCCAGGGCCAGTCCCAAATCACCGCCCCAGGCATCTCTGACCTCTCCGGGTCCCGGGGCTGCTGCTGCCGCCGCTGCTGCTGCCGGAGCCACTACTACTGCTGGTGCTACTGCTGCTGCTGCTGTTGTTGCTGCCGCCGCCGCCCTTTGCATTCTTACGCGGAGCCATTGCGTGCACTTCTGGAGGAGGCAAGGGGTGTACTACTCTCTCAATACGCGGGGTACCAGAAGGCGCGTGGGCCGCTGACGGCGGCGAACGCTGTGAGGATGCGGGCCGCGGTTCCTATAGCAGCCCCTGTGCCTCAGCACCTCCCGCCGCGCACTGGAGGACTTGCGAAATCGTGCCGGCTGCGCGCGCCCGACCCTCTGGAGCGCCGAACCTTTGACTCCCTCCAGAGGCTAGAGCGCGGCGCCCGGCCCCTTCTGTCACGCCCCTTCCCGGATTAGCCCCGCCTCCTTCCCGCCCCGGAAAACTGAGTGATGGGGAAGAGAACCTATCATATGGAAGTCTATTAGGGGGTGGAACCCTGCTGCGCTTCCCCGCCCCCTACAGACTTGGGGCTGTTCTTGGCACGACGCAGCCGCCAGTAAGCGCGAGGCGCTTGCGACTTTCCACTCTTTCCCGGTCCTTTGGAACGTGGCAAACGTGGAAGCCGAGAGGGCTCTCGCGAGTGTTGGAGGACCCCGCACGATCGGGATGGGGCGGGGCTCGGGGGCGGGGCCGGCGACACGTGTGCAACGTTGGGACTGAGCGTACCGCTGCTTGGCCTTTTACTGGGAATTTGTTTATGTGCCACTTCCTCATACATACATGTACCAGGGAATGCAACCCTGCTTCTTGAGAAAGAGGTGTGTTTCTTGTCGGTATTAATATTAAGACGTATCTGAAATGGTGGTGGTAGTAGTTCAATGCTTAAGCCATACATAGTGATAGGTTCAATTTTAAAGGAGGACTTCACTTTGTTTATGCCATCAGTATTTTCAGGGAATCATAGTTAAGAGGTGCAAATGTAAATGTAAAATAAAAAGTTCATTTTCTTGTACTGGATAGCACCCTATACCTGAAATTTCCCCCAGCCAGGCTATGACTGCATTCATCTTTTCTTGATGCCCCCAATCGTGGGTCTCCTGTGGGGTCACAGTCAGTGAGCCTGTACTGCCTCTGAATTCTGCACGTTACTTTAAAAATACCTGGGCCCATGGGTGAACCAGTGACTGAAGTCCAGGACATCATATTCATCTTTGTGTCGCCAATTGCCAGCAATGTCTGGTGCGTAAGAGGCAAGCAAAGAAGTGATTGATGATTTGATACATTTTTGACAACTTATTAAGACCTTCCCCCACTTCTTGACAGCGTTTCAGATAACCTCCCGGGAGCGTCTCAGCAAGTACAGCGGTTACAGCGCAGCATCTGGTTTTATTCCTCTTCTTCAGCCCCGTCACCCCCCCACTGCCCAGTACCCCGGGCCCACCTCCTCTTCTGCTGTGAATGGCTCAATGCCACTGGTTGTGTGGCGTAACTGGGAGAAGGCCTCTCTCCTTTTCAAGAAATGTTAGTTATCGAGATAAAGCAGGGGCAGGGAAGCTCATAGAATTTTTACTGAAGTAGCTCTTTGTTTTTATCAAATGGCATCTCCTACCTCCACACATCCTTCCTCCCAAGTGAACCCCCTTTCAATAGGGGGCGGGAGGAACTGGGCTAAGAGAAATCTAAGTGGTAGTACTCAACATAAAATAACAAGAGTTAATGTGAGAAAAACAATGTTCAAGATATTTAAACTCCTAAATTATCACAAAATCCTGTTATTGTGTCCATTTGTAGGGATGAAGCAACTGCCACGGAGGTTAAACAAAGTATCTGAGGTCACAAAAGAGGTAAGTGAAAGAGCAGGGATATGAATTCAATCCATCTGTTTCCAGAGTCCTTGTTCCAAATTTTCCTTTCCACACAAGGCTTGGTTTTGAGCAGAGAATGTCTCACCAGGCTCCCTTTTCTCTTAGTACATGTGTTCCTGGAGCTTCATTGGTGCTACAGGCGAAGATAGGTCTGAAACCTAATGGTAGATGCTTAGCAAAGTCCACCTTGTTGAGGAAATCAAGTTTCTTGGATAGCTAATTCCAAAATGCCCTGAAGAGATGCTTTGTTCCTGCACTTTCAGAAACTAAATCTAGTAATATTGACAGGTATACTGCTGTGTATCTTTGGAAGTACCCGGCCAAAAAAGGCTTTGTAAATACAGAACACAGGAAGTTAGAGGTTTCCTGACTTTCTTCTTGTACCACAAGAAAGCAGCTGCAATGACATTTATACACTCAGTATTATACAAATGTATAACAATGCTTATGGTTTCAGATACTATTGACCATCTATACAGTCTAGTGTCAGGGAGAAAATTTCCCCAGGATAAGTATCAATATTATGCATTTTACATCTGTTTATACTTCCCTCTTTATGAGCATTCAAAAACACAAAATTTACCTTGGATCCATGAACTTCTTGACATAGGTGTTTTTCTCAGCATTGGGATAAGGAGGTTAGGGAATTAAAGTATCCTTGAAATTAAACAAAAGGTCAAATATCCCTACTTAGCCTAACCTCATTTCTGTGATTTCTAAGCTATGATTGAACTCTTGGTGAAGCAATGTGAAAAGGACCATAAGACAAGACTTAACTAGGACAATGTGTTAAAATACTAATTTAATAGAGTGTTTAAACTGGGCCAAGCGTGCCTTTCAGATATTTCCATAAACTTTCCATTGCTTTCACTGGGATTTGAAAGTAAGAACTTGAGGACAAGATTTGTCCTAGTTTTGTGCGCGCGTGTGTGTGTGTGTATGTGTGTGTATGTGTGTGTTGACCCTTCAACCTCCAGTCACATGCTTTCTAAATCAGATATTTCTGGGCTTACTTATACCTACTAGAACACTTTTAAAGTTGGATTTTTAATCGGCTTCCCAGAAAGTGCTTCTTATTTACGTGCTGTCTTCCTAATGTGAAATGTTATTACTGCAAACTAAAAATGAGTATTTCCTCATCCTTTATTTACTGCCATAATGGAAAAAAATGAATTTCAACTGCTCATAATTCAGTTGTATGTTTATATTTTACAGTGGTGGAATTTGTTGCACTGAAGGCTATGCTGATGAGTACAAGAGTACTTTTAAGGCATTCTGTACTCAGAATGTTCTCAAAGCAGTTATTCCCATGTGAGTTATATCTCAACAAATAAATTTTCATTTCCATCAAAACACTTGACTTGACATTACCATAGAAAACAATCCTGGCTAGTATCTACATTATAAATATATAGAGTTGATATTAACAGAAGTAATTTTAAATCTAGTCAAGTACATTTTTTTTTTTTTTTGGAAATAATGTGTTGTAATGCAAAAAAAAAAATCTGAAAACACTAGTTAAGAAACCTATCATTTATTTTTTTATTTCTACTTTTTACATGTTTTTCTCTCAGGATTGATAGATTTTAGTGCTGAATTTGTTTCCTAATAAATAGCATGTAAGTAATGGTTATTGCTGGGCCTGAAGTTTGATAATAGAGGGAACCGATAGAATTGACTCTTTTTAAGTTTCACATTTAATGCCAGAAACAACTTAAACATGGAGTAACAACTGATCATAGACTTGGCAATTCTATGGCGTATGAAAGGAAATAGTAATGTTATTTAGGAGTGTTTAGAAAATAATCAAGAGAGGGAAAGAATGAAGAAATCTCAAGGATTCTATGCTTACCTCAAGAATCTGTGTGTGTGTGTGTGTGTGTGTGTGTGTGTGTGTGTGTATAATAAAAGTAATTGTTCTGTGCCTTATGGAAATAACCATTCTCTTCAGATGGAAACAGTTACCTGATCCAGGGAAAAATATCCTGAAACTAGTTTCTACGATCCTCCAATTTCATCAAATCTAAATACACTAAGCAGATGTACTTGCCTTAAAACAATCTGTGAAATTAAGTCATTTAGTCAACTTAAATTCTTGATAGCTGATGAGAAATCATGCGTACCCAACATAAATTAGTATTGACTTGGCCCTTTTTACATTGTCATCAGTTGGCTTGAATTTATTCTACAATTTTACAAGCACACGACAAACACTACTCAGTCTGTACCAGGAAAAAAAAAAGTCTTCAAAGGCTTTACCAAAGAACTTGCTAGCATGGAAAATAGGAAGGGTCTCCCTGCACCACTGCAACAATATTTTATTACCTATCTGAGTGGAGGTGGGCAAAGCAGGGAGAAATGGGGACATCTGTAATAGTGTCAACTATAAAAATAAAGTTAAAAAAATTTATTAACCTAAAGATCACTGCTAATATAATTAAAACTCTACAGTACATCTTTACGTGAAGTACAAAATTTATTACTTTAGAAACTTGTTTAGTTTGGCCCTGGACAAGTAGCTCATTTGGTTGGAGCATTGCCCCAATACACCAAGGTTGCAGGTTCGATCTCCTGTCAGAGCATATACAAGTGGCAACCAATGAATGCATAAATAAGTGGACCAAGAAATAATTGTCTCTCCCACTCCGCTGAAAAATCAATTTAAAAAAGAAAACTTGTTTAATGTTATATTGTGGTTAATACTCCTGAATATTTTGTAATTATTTGTGGAACTGCTACAATGCTGACTTCATCATTTGATTAAATCATCTCTTTGTTGCTGGATCCCTTTGAGACAGATACAGATAGCAATAACGAGATAGTCACTGAAGCTACTCCTCCCAGCACCAGAGACTATATTAATCTAGTAAAGCTATGTGGAAATCATTTCCAAGGAATTGTCTCACAAATTATGTGATTCTATTTTCTCAACTTCTTGATGGTATTCATATTGTACTTCATTTTTCTAGTGCCAACACAAAAGAAGAATTGAGAAATGCCGCCACCAGAAGATATCCTTAGAGGAGCAATTGAGTAAAAACCTAAATGCAGGTGTGTTGACTGTTTAGACCTAACCCAAGAAATTGTTTAATATTATAAGGGGACTAAAGGGTAAGGGGGGAAAAAGTACAATAGAGATTAAGTAAAATACAAAAATAAATAAATAAATAAATGTAAATGGAAGCATATACCATGTTCATGGATTGAAAGAATTAATTTCATCAACATGTCCATACTACCAAAAGCAATTTATTGATTCAATGCAATCCTTATTAAAATACCAATGACATATTTCACAGATATAGAACAAGTATTTAAAAAATTTATATGGAACTATAAAGGACCCTGAATAGCCTCAGTAATTTTGAGAAAGAAGAACAAAGTAGGAGGGATCACAATACCTGATGTCAAACTGTTTTATAAGGCCACTGTAATCAAAACAGTCTGGTAATCAGCAAAACAAACAAATGAGTGAAATAGAACCAGAGACGTGGAAATAAAGAACAAAC